TATACCAAGGCATACTCATAATGTACAACTCCTCTTCTTTTGCTTTATGTTTTCCCTAGTCATGATACTATGTGAGCATGTAAAGCATGTATGTATACTTAAATTAAGAAAACCATTAATTTTCTAAAAGTATAGTCATTTGAAAAATTGTTCAAATCAGAGACTCTTAGTCCCAAATGTGTTTATAGCTTGTATATCTTATGTGGTTTGATATACTTAATTCACTATAAACTGTGCTCTCATACTAATCTGTCACACCCCCAAACCAAGGATGGCGGAAACATCCGGAGGTGGAGGACTTCATGTATAGTATCATAACAACAATCGTAATAGTAATTCAAGCAACCACAACCAACATATATATAAAAATGAAAAAGTTACATCGTTGTATGAATTACATGTTTCCAAATCAATTACAATATGTTGACAAAATGTGAAATGTTTGACGCCTTAACGTCCCATCCTCAAAAGCACTTGGTTACCTGTTTTAGTGGTTTCCTGAGAATACAAGTTGTTTGAAAAAGTGTCAACATAAAGGTTGGTGAGTTCATAAGCATTTGTACGTAGTTATGAAAACCTTTTTCTTGTGAAAGTATCGTTTGTTCCAGAAAATCCAATATTTTCCTTAAAAGTGTGAATGTAGTCTTAAAAAAAACCCAAAGACCAAGATTTATAAGTACTTTCCTTACTTATAGTAAATAATGCAAGTTTAAATCGACATAAACTCGTTTGATTTCAATGAAATCCCCGTAAATTCCTATGTTTGTTAATACTTTCTGTGAGTTATTATAACCATGCTATGACCTAGATGGCCTGAAACGACGTTCTTCAGGCGTCGGAAATGTTATGACATTTGTCACCCCAGACCTGTCGGTCTAACTGTTGCATGCAGTTCAGGTGTGGGTTTGTCAGACCCAATATAGATCTATATACAACTATCACGCTCTCCCTCCAGGAGACTTTGGTTACAATACAGGACTTATTTGTAAAGTGAAGCGAATGTCTCACAAAGTCATTAACGGAATTACGTGTTGTGTAATGAAAATCCTCTTTGTATAAATGTACCCTTTTGAAATGTATGTATTATGTAATGTATCATAAACTATACCTATTATAGTTTATCAAAACAAGGGTAGTAGTAGTAATGTATGTAAACTATACTTAACATAGTTTATCCAAATGTTTGTATGTAATGGATGTACTTTGATTATAACAATTTGTTATTTCTATGCTTTATCTAGCAAAAATCCATGTGTTAACTGTTGTATGTCCTTATACTAAGACAAAATGTCATATAATGCAATAACATATAATCAAATAAAGATATACACCTTGCTCAACATGTTACAAGGTGTAATGAAATTGATAGCATTTTTCTGTTGTTAACAATTTCTATTACTGTTCTTAGAAAATTTGTAGGAAAATCATCGAAGGTCCAAATCAGAATCCGTAAATTCTGAGAGTTTGGAAAATGAATCTAGTTTGTTCATAAATTTTCTCACGATTTTTAGTGACCTCCAACATAGGTGAAAACGTCCATAATCACAGACTGGTCCGGATTGGTTCTTGAAATGATAGGCAGTTTTGTAAAAATCACTCCGTGGATGAACATGAGCTACTCGCACCTTGTACAGTTTTGAAAACAAAAATGTTTAGGTTGACCAAAACAGTCCGTGAATGGAGTCCAACGTTTCTGATGAAAGCTGTTAGAAGAATCTAGTTGTGTTCTTGGTGTTTTAACTTGTATTCCCCCCCCTTAAAACATAAGAAAACATGAAAATGTAGGGGTATGAACTCACCTTGTGTGATTTCAGTGGATGAGTGTTGGAGAAGGGAAGTGTTCAACTCAAGAACACTTGAAGAAGCCTTGAAGATTTCGAGAATCTAACACCAAAGGGATGGAATTTGTGTGAGCAACCCATGATTTGAGTAGAATGAAGTGTAATAATCACAAGGAGGATGAGTTATACTTACCAAGAGTGGAAGAAAACTTGATGATCAGCCTTGAAATCCAGAAATTGAGAGAGAAAGTTGGAGAGAAAAGTTGTGTTTGATCTTTGGTGGAAATGAGTGAAGTGGGTGAAATAAAGAGAGAGAGTGGGAGTCTTTCAGCTCTTTGGACGAGATAATGGCTGAAAAATGATGAGAAAGTACCTTGACATGACCAAGGTAGGGTGGGAGGAGTGGCTGACCATAGAGTGGGTGAGGGGGGGGGGGTTGCTTGTGTCATAAAGTAAAGCAAGGTCAACACTCCACCTTAATTACTCCAACCACTAAATCTTGGATAAGATTTGCATTAAAAACATGATTAATTAAGACATATGGGTCTTAATATGTTAAAATAAAGTTTTGGGTGGAAATCCCCCGTTAAAATAATTAAAGATGGGCTTAAAACTGAGTCGGGGTCGAAAACCAGGTAGAAAAGAGGAGAATCCGAAGTCTGGCGAGGGTGACCTCGGCCTTAACAGCCTTAGATCCGAGGTGGGGCTTGGTCGCGGATGCGGCTTCAAATAGAAAAGAAGGCTGCGGTCGGTGGCTGCGGCTGCTGGCTGCGGTCGGTGGCTGCGGCTGCTGGCTGCGGTTCAAGGAGGGTTTGGCCCCTATAGGGGGACTTCGGCCTTAAAAGGGGTTTCGGGTCTTTCGGGGTATTTTTCCCGTTCTAACCCCGTTTTAAGCGATTTTTGATCCGGTTAAGGGTCGGGATGACCCGAATGGTTTCAAAAAGTTACGGGAACTTTTGAGAGAGATTTGGGAGAGATTTCAAATAGAAGGAGATAGAGTGAAAACGATTGAGGGAGGTTTCGTTTGTGACCTTTTTGAGTGTCCGGCTTCGTAATGCAAGGTCCGTAAACCCCGTTAAGTCATGTTTTAGTGTCCTACACACTCCCGATGAGTGTGCAATAGTGTTTTATCTCTTTGGTTCATTGTTTAGCATTATCAAGGCTAAGAAAAATTAAACACACGAATTTTCCAAATGATATTTTCTCATTAAAATAGCGAGTTGTTTAGTAATTACATAGAGTAAACCCTAACATACAAGGGTCAACTGAGTTGACCGGTTTGACTTGTTGACTTTGTTTGACTTTGACTTGACCGGAAATTGACGATTGTCACAATAGGTTATCCACTATATCTTCCACATGCCTTACCAAGTCACCACAACCCAATCTGAAATGATATATGCCAAAATGGTCCTGCCCTCTTTTGTTTTATGTCTGACCCCTGTCTGTACATAGTGGTTGGAAAATATTGTTTAAGCGCTTATATTATAATAATAATAATAATAATAATAATAATAATAATAATAATAATAATAAGACTAATAATTAGTCACGGTAAATATTAGACTAAAGTCTAGTGGTAATAATACTAGGTTTCGTCGAAGGAAATTATTTTTAAGAAGCGAAACGCTGTCTGACTTCGGAATCACCACCTTAACAAGTGAGTGCATAGTTACTTTCATCTTACACATAGATATGAAGTATTTTATATAAATTACGTGCTATGTGTGCATATTATCTGTATACTTGTTATCTATGTTGGACGAACGATTTTATACATGTTTTAAATAATTTAAACTATATATGTATTTTATATCTACGAATATGTTGGGTAAAACATGGGTAAATAAATGATGAGAGATGAAAGATGATATGAGTCAACATTGGCAGCTATAGACTTAGTGCCTAACAAATAACATCGGCAGCTATGGACTTATAGTGCCTACTGAATAAACGTTGGTAGCTATGGACTTAGTACATGTTAGATAAACGTTGGTATCTATGGACTTAATACATGTTAGATAAACGTTGGTATCTATGGACTTAGTACATGTTAGATAAACGTTGGTAGCTATGGACTTAGTACCTGTTAGATAAACACTGGTAGCTATGGATTTAGTACTCGATGAATGAACTTTAGCAGCTATGGAATTAGTGCTTTACGAACGAGCATTGGTAGCTATGGACTTAGTATCTGTCATATAAACCCTGGAAGCAATGGACTTCGGAATGAACGAATGCAGGATAAATGACTCTTAGGGTAGACCTTAAGAGTAAGGAAGATAATGAGGATAGGTAATTGGGTTGATTGTTTGATGTTTAAACATAATAATTAAATTATTGTGGGTTGAAAACCCTGTGTACTCACCAGGTTTCTCAACCTGACCCACTCAAGCTTATTTGTATCACAGGTGTCGATATGAAGTTACATTACACTGAGAGATTAAAGAGATGTAGATCACTAGTGTAAATGAATGTAAGTTCTGTTTATGCTTATGTTTATGTATTGATGATGACATCCCAAATGTTGTAAAATGAACAAAAATACATTTCTTCGGAAATGCTTTGATAATGTATTTATCATGTTTTTCTGGGAACAAATTCCGCAACATTTTTTATTAAAAGAGGTACTCTGATTTTTATAAAGCATAAACAAAATCGGTCTTTTCTGACTGTGAAAATGGGGATGTCATATATATATATATATATATATATATATATATATATATATATATATGGAGAGAGAGAGAGAGAGAGATTTATTTTTATTTTTATTTTCTTGTTTTTTTTTAATCTTAATATCAGAAACACAAATAAGAAAAAAGAGAAAATCATGTTAATAGGTGCAGATCCGTCATTTTGAAAATAAAAAAATCAGAATAAATTGGACCAAAGACGCAACAAAATGAAAATTTTGGACCACTGGTGCTAGTCCAAACATTTTTAAATATTGAATCTTTGAATATTGAACGTTACAGAAAAAATAAGAAAAAACATATCCTGAGAAATATATGCAAATGTTATTTTAGGTGAAATTGTTTTTTATTTTTTGGTTGTAAGTTTTATGAAGAAATGAATTACATGTTAAAAATCCAAGAATCCTAACATTTTTTTCTAGTTAAATGAAAAACATGTTAAAAAGCCAAAAGTTTAATTAAATAACATATTTTTTTTCAGTATATTTATTTACATAGTGATTTTTTATATAATGGGAGCTCCATGCTAACTTTGGCACGAAATTTTATTACCTTCTTCTTTATTTTCAAAGATCATATTGTAATGGAGTTTTGTACATGTTCTTGGTCCATTACAAGCTTGATCTTAGTGATTTTGCAGCTGTTGTTATGGAATAGAAGCTTGTACGCTAATGGATGCTATACGTCCATCTTCAGCTTTGGCGACTCACTGGCCGACACGGGTAATATTAAACAACTCGCCGCCATATCACATGCGGACGTTCAGTCTCTTCAGCCTCCTTACGGCGAAACCTTCTTTCATGAACCCACCGGTCGTGCCTCCAATGGACGCCTCATCATCGATTTCCTAGGTAATTCGTCATCAATTTGAAACGACTCATATATAGTGATAATTGTAGATATGTGACATCTAGTAAAAAATATCTAATAAAGTACGTACTATAATTGGGTTAAACGTTGCGTTTAATTTTCTAGGAATAAAGTTATTCATGTTCTATGTGAATTAATGACATTACATTTTCTTGTTGTTCATGAAGCTGAGAGTCTTGGGTTGCCACTAATACCACCGTTTCTGCACGATAAGGAGAGTGACAATGTGGTGGCTTTGGGACAAGGAGTTAATTATGCAGTCGTGGCAGCAACAGCATTGGATACATCATTTCATGAAGCAAGAGGGACTGTTGATCCTACAGCAAATGTATCTTTAGGAGTTCAATTGGCATGGTTTAAACGATCATTGACCTCTATTTGCAGCAAAGCCTCAGGTAATCAAACATGCATGCGTATATGCTTCTACTGTATACACTTGTGCTAACCATACACGTACGTGCATATATATAATATTTAATTTGTTATAAATTGGAATGGGATTATAATTTTCTAAAAAGTCGAAGATTCTTGTTTATAGTTTTGAGATTCAAACACTATTTGTGAGTACTTGTATTGATTATAATTGTTGGCAGATTGTAGAAACATAATTGGGCGTTCTTTGATCCTAATGGGAGAGATTGGTGGAGGCGATTACAACAATGCAATATTTGGCGATAAGCCAATCGAGGAGGCCCAATCATATGTTCCTCTTGTTATTGATACAATCATCTCAACAGTCAATGTAACTACTCAAATCGTTCAAGTATATATTTTAAATTATCACCACTAACAATAACACCACTCACAATTTTAATTTCTTTTTAATTCTAGTGTACCATTATCTCATGGGTTTAATTGATTCTAATAGTTTTAAATACAGGAGCTAATTGATATGGGGGCTCAAACACTGGTTGTTCCAGGAACCTTTCCACTTGGGTGTTCTAGTTCAATTCTAACAGTTGGTGCTTCTAAAAACCAAGAAGATTATGATAACAGAACCGGTTGTCTCATCAGGTTCAATAAACTTGTCGAATACCACAACATCTGCTGAAAAAGAAACTAAACCACCTTCGAGAGCTTCATCCGAATGTCATCATCATCTATGCTGACTACAACGATGCTGCCATGCAGATTATATATTCTCCAGTTAAATTTGGTACAAAACATGTTATAATATTTCTAGTGCTCCACGATTTACCATGTTATTGAGTAATTTAGTATCTTGATTTATGTTCTTGTTGGGATGGAATTCAAAATTTTGTAGGATTCACAAATCCGGTTTTGAAGTCGTGTTGTGGAGGTGAAGGTCCATATAACTACAATATATTGGCCCTATGTGGACGAGCATTTTCGACCGTGTGTAATGACCCCGATGCATATGCTTACTGGGATGGAATACACTTTACAGAAGCTGCATACAGAATAATTTTCAAGAGTTTATTTCAAGGCCAATATACTACACCCCGCTTTAATTCCATGTGTCCTACACCTACACCTACATCAACATCACAACTCAGAGTTGCTTTATGGAGATCACAAATACAACGGTGACCTATCAGAGCCGGCAAGGGAGACATGTACTTTCCATTAAAAATGCAGTACAAATATTTCATATATTGTTACAGTTTATGTAAACTACTACATAATTAAAATAAAATAAATGGCATCCACAATCCATATAGTTTAATGAAAAAGTTGAATAAAATAGAATGCCTAGTGAGTAGTAACCATTCAAGGGATGAAAGTCAATCATAATAGATGTCATGTTGGTGTTTAATGGAGTCCGGATGTGTTTGGTTGAGTTTAGCGTATCGTACCGGTTATTACCTAAAGCGGGCTGTTTGGCACTTTTTAAAAAAATGCAGGGGCTATTTGGTACTTGTATTCAAAACGCATGTGTTGTGAAGTAGTTTTCTTGGCCAATTTTATGATTACGTAAATAATGAATCTACTGAATTTAATAACTTCAAAGAAAAAGAAGTATAACAGTAAAGGGGCGTTTGGTGCAGAGGATGTTTTTGTAAGGAATTGGAATATGTCATTGGTTTGGTTGGTGGAAAAGAAATTTAACTCAATTGCATTTCTTTGCTATTTTATGTTTGATTTGTGAATATATCAAAGAAATTGGAATGTAAATTAATTTATGTTATAAGAAGAATATGTTGGTGTTTTAATCGGTTTATGAGTACAATTTTGTCTTTTAATAAATAAAAAGTAAACTGGAATTCAATTCTTATTCTTACGAATGAAGAAATCCCTCGAACATGTTTTTTAAGAGTTATCCTGAAATTTAATTCCATTGGTTGGTTTCAAAACCAAACACGCCACATAGTGGAATTAGAGATTACAATTCCACTGGAATCCAGGAACCAAAGATGCCCTAAGGCCAAAGTCATTTAAATGCTTTTGCAACATGCCTTGGAAAACACACTACAAGAAAGGTGGGTATTAGCGGCGACGTCTTTAGCGACGACAACCCCCATTAGCGGCGACATGTAATTGACGTTTTACATGTCGCCGCTAATCGGGGCGGTCACCGCTAATACCCGCACAGTGTCCATCCGCGTCAAATAAACCCTGTCCGTTCGATCTGCATTTAATCTAATGGTTGGAAATGAGTAAAAAAGGCGCTGCCTTTTCCCCCAGAAGTGTCACTGCTAATACCCATATGCCTTTGCTAAAGGCCATATGTCGCTTCTAAAGGCATGTCGTCGCCGCTAATGGCTTTCGCAGATAACCCCCGACTTCAGCTCTTTTCTGCGTCTGCCTCCTTTGTTGTCTTCCAAAACGATTCCCAAACAGCTCTTCCTTCCGACAACGTTCGATTGCTGCCACAACCCTCGTTTCTAACAACAATTACCGCCGACCACCACTGGACCTCCATTACCAGCGACGACCACAGCGTCTCCGGAAAATTTGACGATTTAAGGTCCAAATCCTCCGTATTTTCTATTCCTCTTCTGTTTTGGTGTTTTCTTTTTTACCTATTTTAAGCTTTTAATTTAAAGATTGTTGTCGGAAAAATCTAGTTTCTGGCAGGATTGTGGAACTCTTGCCGGAAAAATTCGAAATTACACCACCACTTTTCATCTTTTTGTCTTCCATTTTGTAAATGTATTTTATTTGTATGTGTATGATGCATGTATGTGTTTTTCCATGTGTATTATTTTTTTATATATGTGTGTTATTTGTATATATATTATTTGTGTATGTGTATGTGTATGACTTTTGAAATTATATATGTAATTTGCATGTATGGAAAAAATGAAATATAATGGAAAAAAAGTATGATGCTCTAATTAATGTGTAATATGTGTAGGAAGCATGTTTATGTGTATTTGTATGTATAATGTATATATTTATGTAGGTAATGTGTGGAAAAATGAAAAAGAAAATGATGCTATAATGAATATGTAATATGTGTAGGACGGATGTTTAAGTGTATTTGTCTATACTGTAATGTGTATGAGGTATGATGCAATATGTGAAGGAAGCATGTTTAAATGTATTTATGTAGAAAGTACAATGCTATAATGGAAAAAAAAAGTTTGTGTATTTGTATGCAACTTGGAAAGTACAATGCTATAACTGAAAAAAATAAAAGATAAAAAAAGTCAATGTATTTGTATGCAACTTGGAAAGTACCACGCTGTAATTGAAAAAAAATAAATTGTGTATTTGTATGCAACTTGGAAAGTAAAATGTTATAATTGAAAAAAAAAAAAAAGTTTGTGTATTTGTATGCAACTTGGAAAGTACAATGCTATAATGGAAAAATATTTAAAGAAAATAGTTTGTACTTTACAAACTATTTTTGTTTTCATTTTTTTTTCCATTATAGCATTGTACTTTCCAAATTACATATAAACACACAAACTTTTATTTTTTCATTTTGTTTTTCCAATATATAATTGTACTTTCCAAAAATATTGTAAAGTACAATGCTATAAAAGGATAAAATATAATACAATAAATAAATAAAAAAATATATGCAAAAGTACAATGCTATAATGGAAAAAAATGAAAAAAAAAAAGTTTGTGTATTTGTATGCACCTTGAAAAGTACAATGCTATAATTGAAAAAATTAAAAAAAAAAAGTATGTGTATTTATATGCAACTTGGAAAGTACAATGCTATAATTGAAAAAAAATAAAAAAAAAATGTTTGTGTATTTGTATGTAACATGGAAAATACAATGCTATAATGATAAAAATGAAAAAAAATAGTTTGTACTTTATAATTTTTTATTTCATTTTTCCATTATAGTATTGTACTTTCCAAATTACATACAAATACAAAAACTTTTATTTTTTCATTTTTTTTCCATTATTGCATTGTAATTTCCAAATTACATACACATACACGAACTTATATTTTTTTTCTTTTTTTCCATTATAGTATTGTACTTTCCAAACTATTGTAAAGTACAATGCTATAATAGGATAAAATATGATACTATAAATAAAAAAAATATATGCAAAAGTACAATGCTAAAATAGAAAAAACAATATAATATTTAAAGTACAGTTTTATTAAATAACAAAAATATTGTAAACTACAATGCTTAAATAGAATAAACAATATAATATTTAAAGTACAATGCCACTACAAAAAATATGTCATTTAGTGGCACACAAAAAGTGCCACTAAAAACCCAAAAAATGCCACTAAAGGCTTCTCGTAAAATCAGCGGCACACATAATAAGTGTCACTAGAAGCGCTCCTACTAAAACCTTTTAGTAGAACCTTTTGCTTTTGTCGCTGCAATTTTTAGGCTTTTAGTGACACTTTTTTATTTGTCACTGTAGAATAAAAGTTTTTTGTGGCACATATTTTATGCCAATGAATGGTCATTTGATTAAAAAAATAATGTTAGTTTTAGTTACACAATTTAAGATTTTAGTGGCATTTTTTTATTTGCCACAATACAAGAAAATTGTTATAACAAAATATAACCTTTTCATCCTCCTTTTAAATATATCATACCTTCTTAATAGACCCCTTGACTCATCTGATTAATATGAATATTGTTAGCCTTCTAAAATAATAATATTAATAGTAATCTAACATGTAATTTTTGAATATTTTAGTGAAAAACAAACTAGTCACAATATGATAGTTTTATTAATGGAAATGGTTATTTTCTAGAATATATTCATGATTCTCAAATGTGTACAAAAACAAGCATGTCTAGTAATTGTCTTCATCAATTTCTAACTTTCAAAGGTAATAACATATGATTTTATCGGATGTCCCCGGAGGTTCAAGCCCTCCTTCTAGCAAATGCAATTTGTCAAAACCTGCATATTTGAACAATTTATAAGAGGGTATAATAGTAATTTCACTTTTACTCCAAAAGGAATGAAACCATTTTGGTTACCTGAGACTGAGAATTGTTCAAAGCTGCCCGTCTAGCCACCGTGAAATTTATCTTTGGCATTCAATCCCTGTACCATAAACAAAATAGAGAAAAAGACTAAATGGTCCTTATATTTCCCACAAAATTAACATTATGGCAAAAAAAAATAATAACATATTTCAATATCAATTCCTGTTGATTCCATATTCACATCAACCATTATCTCAATTTATAGAAGCAATCCAGGTCTATCTTCTGTCTCTATGCACAACAAGCTAAAAAAACACAAAGTACAAACCAGTCAACTTGACATGCATGAAACAAAGTGAAAATATGAAATAGTTTTTTTATGTCTTATGTTTTTATTTTGGTATTTGAAAATTTACTTTAAAATAAATTGCTTAGTCTCTAACCTTATTTTAGGTCCAACATCATTGACATGCATATGATTCTCTATATTTGTATCAAGTTGCCATCAAGATACATATGTTAATTAGCATGATATAAATCAATAAACCATTAGTAATGACAAAGTTTAATTAATTTATATAACTTTTTTATGAAAAAGATAACCCTATAAAGATGTCCAGCCTAAAATATGATCAGATATTTTTTTTGACAAATTCCACATAACATAAGTTAATCATGATTTTTTGAAGCTTAGTGCAAGTAGATTACATGTGGGAGACATCTAACCCTTTGAAAGTGTGACAAAAAAAACATGACAATTCTTTCCGTGACTCATCAACATAGGATTTCCAAAAGAAATTAGAATCTCGACGGTTATTGTTTTTATAAAAGAAAATTAAAAAAATATATATTTCCATATTTGTAGACCAATTTCAAATGTTTCCTGAAATTCTTCCAGAATGTTTCATAATCTTTAAATAAAAAATAAATAAATAAATAAAAGATATTACAATTTACAAAGTGAACAAAAATATCAACTTTATAAAAATAATATTACCTCTCGATTCTAACTCATGGATATGCTAAGAATCAAGCCAAACGCCTTTCGGACCAATCGTTTCCTCATCATCCTTACCTTTTTTAGGAAAACTAAATTCAATAATAAAATTATTTCCATATAAATTTAAAGAAAAAAGAATTTTAAATGCACTTACAACACGGTTTTAATACGTATATCATGTTCAGAAGCACCTTCCAAAAGTTGTGGATCGGTAACACCGA